CTTAAATACAGAGAGTAAATGGATGGTTGCTGGAGGGAAGGGAAGGTATGGGTTAAATGGATGATGGGTATTAAGAAGGGCACTTTTTGGGATGAGCACTGAGTGTCATATGTAAGAGATGAATTACTAGGTTCTACTCCTGAAGCCAAGACTGAACTCTATGTTAACTAACTTGAATTTAAATTTAAAAAAAGAAAGAAAACTTCAACTCAAAAAAAAAAATCTCTGGGGTTCAAGAAATGCTAGAAGATGCCCCCAGTGGTTGGGTTTTCTGCACCTTCTAGCCTCTCCCCAGCATGTGCGCACACACACACAGTGTCCCTTTCCATTGTTTCATTTGTGTGTTGTTGAACAAATGTCCTTAGGAAGAAAAAACACTTGGGTTTAGAACATGACTTTTTGCTGTATGCTTAGAGAATTTCATATTTGTTTAAGATAACATATCAAATTTCTGAAACAAACTAAATAAATAATTAGTAATACTTTAAGGACTTCTAAACATGTTTCTTTTTCATGTTGTTTTCTCTACCAAATTACTCAAACAGAAGTAAAATGTGTGAAGCCTCCATATGGTTATTGTGGCTTTTCACGATACAGCTATAGGGTTGAATCTCAATTTTGCCTCTAATGTTGGAATCATGGTCTCAAATAGAACCACTTACTGAATCTTTTTGCTCATATCCTAATCTCTTCTGGCACGTATATTTGCTTGAAAGATGAATGTCTCATATTGCAAGGAACACAGATGTGCCTCTCTTTTTCAGCCATAATGATAAAAAACTCCAGTAAGCAACTATTTTGTGAATGGGTTTTATGGGATGCCAACTCATAGGTGCAAAACTAATTCATCCTTCTGCTAACAACAAACATTCACCCAAATTTCCCCCCACCTGCCAGAATAAGTATGATAACACATAGAAGATTTTAGATAAACAATGTATTTACCAAGTTCTGAAGCAGTGTTCAATCATAACAATTTTTATAGATTTTCGTGAGGAAAATCCATTAGACTTTGCTATGTTGCAGTATATCACAATCTAGAACACTGTACTATTACAGAATTTCAAAGAAGCAATCTTGCTATGAATGTTGTTTTGACCTCAAGAAAAGCAATTGGAAATTTCTTACTTATGAAACATGCATATCTTGAGGAGGTGGGTATTTCATTACTGAACCTGTATTTACTGTCTGATTTTTTAAATCTATAAGTACTTCATGAAGCAAAATAAGCTTTACTGTTTGTTGGTAAAAGATTTTTTAACATCTGAATGCTTTCTATTATATTTGGGGTTCAGTCTAAAGTCTGGGGTCTCTACCAAATAAAAACATCATAAAATCTTGTGAGGCATTATTGCTTACAAAATGGGCAGTCTTAGGATGCCTGCATGGCTCAGTCAATTAAACATCTGACTCTTGATTTCAGCTTAGGTCATGATCCCTCAATTGGTGAGTTCAAGCTTCGTGTTGGGCTCTCGGCTGATGGTGCAGAGCCTGCTCAGGATTCTCCCTCTCTCCCTCTCCCTCTGCTCCTTCCTTGTTTGCATTCTCTCTCTCTCTCTCAAAATAAATAAATAAACTTAAAAAATTTTTTAAAATGGATACTCTTAATTACTTCACCACCTCCAAGATAATTAATGTATAAACATCCCTACTTTTATACTTCATGTCTAAAAGGAAGACATTTTCCTTAGCCCATCTTTATTAGTTTTCTCTGGCTGCTGTAAGAAATTACCACAAACTTGGTGGCTTAAAACATAAAAAATGTATTCTTTCCTCATCCAGCTTCTGGTGGCTAAGGCATTCTTCAGCTTGAGGTTATATCCCATTACCTTCTCCCTTTCTGTGTATGTGTCTCAAAATTCTCTCTGCCTCTCTTTTTTTTTTTTTTTTTAAATTTTTTTTCAACGTTTTTATTTTTTATTTTTGGGACAGAGAGAGACAGAGCATGAACGGGGGAGGGGCAGAGAGACAGGGAGCCACAGAATCGGAAACAGGCTCCAGGCTCTGAGCCATCAGCCCAGAGCCCGACGCGGGGCTCGAACTCACGGACCGCGAGATCGTGACCTGGCTGAAGTCGGACGCTTAACCGACTGCGCCACCCAGGCGCCCCTCTCTCTGCCTCTCTTATAAGGACACACATGATTATGGTTAGGACACACTCAGATAATTCAAGATAAACTGTTCCTCTCAAGAGACTTAACTTTAGAGGGTGCCTGGGTGACTCAGTCAGTTAAGGATCTAACTCTTGATTTTGGCTCAATGATCCTAGGGTCATGGGAGCCCAGGGTCATGGGATCGAGCCCAGCATCGGGCTCCATACTCAATGAAGAGAATGTCTCTCTCCCCACGATGTATTTCTGTCCCTCCCCTGCCAATTAAAAAAGAAAAAGAGAGAGAGAGAGACTTAACTTTATCACATCTTTTGTCATATAAAGTAATATTCATAGTTTCCAGGAAATTGACATGGATATCTTTGGTGCTATTTTTCAAATCACTACATACCATCTATCTGGATTTTACCACATAGTTTTCTGTCACTCTGGGGATTTTCTCCAGAAAATCCTTCTGCCTCCTTCTCCCTTACTCTCCTATCTTTAATTACTTCTCCTTCAATAGTTCTTCTCTTCATCATATACTCATACTGTTAGTTTTCTAGAGCTGCCATAACAAAGTACCACAGAATGGGTGGCTTCAACAACAGAAATTTACTTTCCCACAATTCCAGAAGCTAGAAATCTGAGATCAAAGTGTGGGCAGGCTTGGTTTCTAAGGCTTCTCTCCTTGGCTTGTAGATGACTGTCTACTCTCTCTTCTCATATGATCTTCCCTCCATACATTTCTGTGTCCTAATTTTCTTCCTTATAAGGACTCCAGTCATATTGGATTAAGGCCCACCCTAATGAATTCACTGTACTGTAGTTACCTCTTTTAAAACTCTATCTCCAAATACAGTCACATTCTGAGGTTCTGGGATTAGGACTTCCACATATAAATTGGTGGGGGGGTGGAATACAATTCACTCCATAACACAGACCATTCTTTCCCATTCTAGAAAAAACAAAAACAAAAAACCTTCCATCTAAAGAAATACTCCCTCAGCTGTATAATACAGTTCCAGCTCTATCAGACATTTACTTCCCATCAAATAGTCTGGGTTTCTCCACATTTCTTGGTCCCCTTGCTATAAGGTAAAACCTTGGGACTAATTTTTGGTAGGCAGCACTACAGGTCTAATGGACCAGTAGAGGCTGTACTATGAAAATATGGATCTAAAAAACAAAAGTAATTTCATTTTATTTTTTTTTTAATTTTTTTAAACATTTATTTATTTTTGAGACAGAGAGAGACAGAGCATGAGCAGGGGAGGGTCAAAGAGAGAGGGAGACACAGAATCCGAAACAGGCTCCCGGCTCTGAGCTGTCAGCCCAGAGCCCGATGCAGGACTCGAAATCACGGACTGCAAGATCATGACCTGAGCCAAAGTCGGACGCCCAACCGACTGAGCCACCCAGAAGCCCCTAAAAGTAATTTCATTTTAGAGTCACCATCTTATAAGACTGACAACAAACGGATGATAATGCTTGTTTCAAAGAAAGCAGTCTCTGTGATACTCTGAGTTGCATATTGTTCTCGTTCTCAGCTTTCGTCAATGGTGGCTATGAACAAACAGCTTTAAAAAGTCCATCGTGGCATTTACTGTAGGCAAAGTATTTAGTACATCTCCAAAAATCTTTGCTTTCCCTGAGGGTCCCTCTTTACCTTTTGGTGATAATCCTGTAATTGACATATTTGTTGGTTTCATTTTTGTTTTTCTTTTGCTTAAAAGCCATATTTGGGGTGCAAGTTATACAACTAGACTATGAGCTCAGATGAAGGTAACAACTAGAGCTGTCTTAGCCATTTATGTATCCCCTCTGCCCAGAATAGGTGTTCAATAAATAAGCATTGAATAAATGAATGAGCCAACTTTACAGAGCTATGTAGCCTGAAAACCTCATTATTTTTCCCCAGATCTTAACTCTCTATTTTTGCTTGTATTTAGGGGTACACTTTCTCTAAATTATGAATGCAAATATCGTAAAAGTTGTGAAAATGTCTTTAATAAATATTTAGTTGAATGAATTATCTTGGCTGATTATAGTGTTTCCACAGGCCTGATTCTTTTAAATGATGCAATGCCAAGGACAGCCCTAGCAGGAGACTTGATACATTCATTCTACATCAAGTCAGCAGTCATCACAGAAAAGGTTGAAGCATCAGTTCTGAAAGTGTCGGTAAGGAACTTCTGGTGTCCCTAAAATCTTTCAGAGGTTATGATGTCAAACTATTGTCAAAGTGGTATTACATCATTATTTGTCTTTTTCATGCTTATTTTTTTTCATGGGCATACAGTGAAGTTTTCCAGCAATTACATGATGTGTGATATCGTAACAAACTGAAAAAGTTTCTATTGACCCTGTTAAAAAGAATCCAAAATGAAGGGCACAATCTGAATATACCCCTGGGACCAAACATTTATAGTCACATAACCAAAGTTTAAAACTGCCCTGATTTCCCTGAAATGCCAAGTCTAACCTTAAATAAAACTTACATTTCCTTCAAATAAGCATGACTTTACAGCTTCCTAGCCAACCAAGTAAGAAGATATGCAAACAAATCAGCATATAGAGTGCTACTACCATAAAAGGAATGTAAGCTTCTAGTAACAAATCACAAAACAATGCACTTCTTCATTCATGCTTTATAAACTGAGCTGTAACTACTGAAAGCCATGCTTCCACCAGTTTTAGTTTTGAAGTCTCCCAGCTTATGAATAGTTTGTTTCTCTCTCAATAAAATATATCAAGTGAAATTCTCTGAAATTTCTTTTGACAAGCCAAATGTTAAAAAGACTTGGGAAAACCTAAAGCAAATCCACTCCTCTCACTAAATTTTTTGTTCTACCAGATTAATTTTACAAAAAATATATATTATTTACATTAACACTCATTTTAGTGCAGTCATTGTTCATAACTATTTTAATTTATTTCCATTTTAACACAATAAATAGATATAACCCATATACATAAGCTCTTTGAGAGATCCTCAAAATGTTTAAGACCACAAAAGTTTCCTGAAACCAAACAGTAAGAACCACTAGGGAAAGAATGAACTCCCACTTTTAAGAAGCTCCTTCCTGTATGTTGTGGAAAAACAAAACTAAAAACATATGTGTCCCCTTTCACTACCTCCTGGATCATTAGCTCCAGGAAACATGTATGACATCACAATTAAGCACCATTGTGCAATACAAAAAACTACTCAGTAGAATAAGGGGAATCTGAGTGGTGGCCACACAGATAGACAATTTAGAGATCTATAGATATACCCCCAAAGTATGTTTTCTTTTTTTGTTTCCATGCAACATTTACTCTAAGTCTAAAACAGAATTCTCTTCTGTCAATTCCTGGCTCCTGAGAAATTAGGATCTATATCGGATTCTCCTGGTACAATTCCTCATTCAAAGAAGTATCTGACATACTTCACTGGTGATCCTTATATTTCTGATGCTACTGCCCAGAGGTCTTTTTACATTAGGATATTTCTCAGAAGTATGGCCTTGCTCTGGAATGGGGAATATATTTCATAGCAAGTGCCAACTTTAATACATTGTTAGCAGTTGGCTGGAACATTGTTTGAGAAGGATTCTGAGGCATTTCCAGGCTTAGCAAGACAAATGGTATAACTGATTAGTGGTCTACTCTAGGTCCTAAAAGGAAGAGTGTTAGCTTATGTGCTGTGTATTTGCTGACCAAATGAAATCAATTGGAATTGCTACGGTCAAACAGATATAAGGAAGACATTAAGTGCTTAATCCATGTAAAAATTACACAGGGATATACTTACTATGATGATTAATAACAGATATCAGCAATAGTATTTGTCTCATAAACACAATCTGCTTAAAACATGAGCACAGATTTTAAGATTCAAAGAAACAAATCAATTTAAGAGAACACAAGAATTGCCGTAAAGATTTGCAATAACATACACTGTGCATCTATATATCTGAAGACATTTTTACCACCTACTCTTGATTGAAGTACCTTTAGGAGCTTGACCAGAACTTACTTTCTGAAACAATCGCAGAATGGAATTTAAAAGGGTGAATATTAGGTATACCAGCTGTGGCTCTTCACAACTTCCAGATGTATCACTGCTGCTACTATAAAGTCTTCAATCTCTTTACAACATATATCTTGTTGGTGTAACTAATAATTAATACATGGAGGAAGAAGAGGAGGAGGAGAAAATTGAGAGAGGAGAAGGAGCAAGAGATAAAGAAGAAAGATACCAGACAGAGAAAGACACACCCTATGTTATTTCACATACATGTGGAATCTAAAATAAAACAAACTCATAGATACAGACAACACACTCGTCAGTTGCCAGAGGTTAGGTGTTAGACGTGGGTGAAGTAGGTGAAAGTGGTGTAAAGGTACCAAGAAGAAGAAGAAAGACACAAATCATTCCTGGAGATTTGAGCCAGTGTGACTTTTTGTTTGGGAGGAAACACAGATACTATACATTTCTTTAGAATGTGTCCCTATGACTATTAACTCTACATACCATTCTACACACCAGTACCTTAGTAGTGATACAAACTGCCAATATAGTCCTTTACATCATATTTTGTTGATAAAATAGAAGAATTTTAGCTTCTTTGAGAACAACGTCCAAGCACTGACAAGAACACTAACTTGTTCCTTTCCGAATTGGACTTTTTGTCATTTTGCCTGGCAGTTATACTGTGGAGAAGTGTACTCAGGAAAGCAACTGGTGCCTGGGGCTAATACGTCTGGCTCTAAATACAGCACTGTGAAGAAATGGCGGGAGAGGGGGGGAACAAAACCAGAAAAGACTAATATAGAATTTGTTCCCTTGGAAACAAAAGACTACTTAGTGTTTTTGGGAATAAATATATATATTTGCAGAACAACTTTCACAAAAATGTGGCTCTAAAATGAAATTCTGACAATATAGTCACAACACTAGTGAGGAGTAAGGGGAGCATAAATAGATAAGTAATTTTATAGTTTATAAAGTATATGCATTTGACTCCATAGGCCAGACTACAAAGGTTATGTACCAATGATAAAGTGATGTGAAGCAGAAGGGATGCCAGTTATTGCTTTACTGATAAAGATGAAGGGTCACAATGAACAAAAACTTGCTCCCCCATCCAACAAAACCTACAAATATCAAAAAAGAATTTTAAATCTCATTTTGGAAGGAGAATAAAAAGAAAAATATAGGAAAGCAAAAAATATTCTAAAATAAGTTATTAAATAGCTTTGTAGGATGTTGATAAAGAAAATGGTGATTATTATGGAACAGCAAGAGTTCTTTAAGAGTAAGTCTTGAAAAGTTTTTTCCAAGACTGATAAATTTCAATTCTGGAATTCCATAAACAAGTTGGCATTCCACCATCTTCCCCTAAACAAAAGGGGAAATATGGTATTTAAGACAATCATATTCAAAGGTATGTGTTAACTCTATAAAACTAATAAATCAGACTTTCAGATGTCCCTAAAGTTCCCTCTAGCTCTAAAATTTTTTGAATCTAGAATCCTAACATACCAGTGTCACCAACTTATCACAGACTATATCCTTGTTTCTCTCTTAATCAATTTTTCTATTAACTAGAATGAAAAAACTTAATTATATTTTAAAAACTTATAGATGGCAGGTGATGGCAGAAATAACAATGTTGAAGGACATTTAATTTTGGAAATAATTTCAACTAGTTAGAACAGTTTGCTCTTCTTGGTACACCCATGGTAAAAGACTGGCATATAGTAGATCTCAAACACTATTTGTTGAAATAATAAATGAATGAATGGGTCAAAGCTAACAAGGTGAAATTTATCAAATTAAATTTAATTTTTTCAGATACAGAGTTGACTAAACCTAGTTTGATAGCAATTTAGATACAGTTCATTACCAGCTCAATTTAAGCCAAGAATCCAATTAACAGAAGTATAATATCTAGGGAAATTAATCTGTCATCTGCTCTATTCAGACTGTGTGTAAAATACTAAATTCCTCTGGGCATCACTTTCGAAAGCTAATACTGGCGAACTAGAGTTCAATAAGAGAAGATGGCCAGGATATCTAGAGGTCTGGAAATTCTTTCAGGAGATCTAATGAAGGATCTTAGATGCTAAACTTGGAGATAGAAAACAGGAGGGACATACTGAATATCTGGAGAGTGGTCATGGGAAAGATATATTAGAGTCATTCTGCTGACTCAAGGAAAGAATACAGAAGTTACAAAGAAATAGATCTTGCTTTAGTATAGGGAAGGAATTTCTGTTAAATCTGTCCCAAAATGAATTAACCTACTTTGCAAAGAAGGGAATACTTCATCACTTCAAGTGGTCACACAAAACGTACATAATCTGCCAGGGCCTTGCAGAGAAATTATTACTGTGGGTGGATACTAGCATGAATGATCTGAAGAGGCTTTCCTGCCCTAATACGCTGTGATTCTATGGTCCCTGCATAATTGCTGCCTACCTCTTGAACATTATTGTAATCTCTCTTTTCACTGACTTATCTTCTATTCATTTAATACTTGATCAGTTCTTTGTTCTTGCTCCCATTATTCACATTTGTTCCTGAGGTATCCTACAATCTAACTTCCATTGCTATCATAGCAGGAAAAAAAAATCCCCTCTTAAAAGTCATAACCTCTTTGCTCTAATAGTCAACGGGTTTGCATTTATTTTCATTCTCTTTGACCCCGTAGAGGTATTGTTAACTATTCCACCCTCTATACCTTCTTTGCTTCCCTTATTTCTAGTTCTTCAATTTCATCTTCTTTTTTCTGAACTTTTGGCTTTTCTTTCACCCATAAATCATAGTAGCTTCCAAAGGTATTGATGCTTTCTATGTATAAGATTGAACTGCCATTTTTGATGGTGGTATCAAGGTGCTTGTTAAATCCCTAACTACAGTAAGGTACTATCAGTGACAATATTAACACAATGTCTTTGTAATTTCTCTGCAATGACTTGGTTAAGAATACACATTTTGCAGTTACTTGGGTTTATTTTCCTAGTTGAGGTGGAAAAAGTACTTCACATTTTATTGTTTTATTTTCTAGTAAAAAAGAAAAAGTCTTCAAATTTTATTAAAAGTATGGTTTACCTTGGAGGAATTTTACAGGATCACATCTCATATCATCAAAGAAACCATCAATCCACATTACAAATGTTAGAATATTTTATTAGCCTTTGAATTTAAAATGAATCTGAGGATGGTTTCTCAGTCATGTACCTAGTGTAGCGTCCATACACAATCATGTACCTAGTGTAGTGAAGGACCATGAGTCCTTCCCACATAATATACGTGTCAAAAATTTGACTTAAGTCTGTAGACACAAGCTGTTAGAAAGGTTTTTTTAGAGGAATGAAGCTCTATTTTCCAAGTCTACATACAGTTTGTTCTTAAGAGGAATCTTTCATCTCTTATTCAGTAGCCACTTGTACTGTTTACCATTATCCTATTCATACATTAGATTACTTAAAGCTCCTCTACTCTTTATCATGATGTTAGCCAACATTGAAATAGTCCCCTTTCATTCTTATTCCCCATTCAAAATAACTGATACTGCAGTTAAGGTATAGTTGTTAGGTGCAGATAGTTGTTTTGAGTCTCATGATTTCAGAGTGAACAAATGTGTGTCTTTATCAAAGATTGAAACCAGGACTGTCCAATAGAGCTCTTGTTGAAGATGAAAATGGTTTTCTATACTGTTCCATAAGATAGCCATGAGCCACATATGGCTATTGCACATTTGAAAAGTGGCTATTGTGAATGAAGGACTAACTTTTATATTTTATTTAAAGTTTTAAACTGTTTTTTAAGGGCAGTTTTAGGTTCATAAGAAAATTGCAAGGAAGGTATAAAGATGTCCCCTAGATTCTCTGCACCCACACATATGTAGCCTCTCCATTATCAAAATCCCCTCACCAAAGTGGAACATTTGTTATAAATGATGAATTTACATTAATACATCATAATAACTCAAAGTTAATTGTTTACATTACGGCTCACTCTTGGTGTCCTACATCCTATTGGTGTGGACAAATGTATGATAACAACACACGTCCATCATTATAATATCATAGTGTTTTCCCTGCCCTAAAAATCCTCCAGGCTCTGCCTATTCATCCCTCCACCTTCCCCAACCCCTGACAATCAATGGTCTTTTTAGTGCCTTTATAGTCTTGCCTTTTCATAATGTCATATAGTTGGAATCACACAGTATGTAGCCTTTTCAGATTGGCTTCTTTTACTTAGCAGTATGCACCTAAGGTTCCTCCATGTTTTTTCAGGACTTGATAGCCCATTTCATTTTAGTGCTGAATAATATTCCATTGCCTGGATGTATCATAGTTCATTTATCCATTCACCTACTGAAGGAAATCTTAGCTGCTTCCAAGTTTTGGCAATTATGAATAATGATGCCTTAAATATCTGTGTGTAGGTTTTTATGTGGACATAAGTTTTCAACTTCTTTGGGTAAATACTAAGGAGTGCAAGTGTTCAATTGTAGAGTAAGAGTATTTTTATATTTTGTAAGAAAGCACCAAACTTTCAAAGTGGCTGTACCTTTTTGCATTCCCACTAGCAACAAATATGAGTTCCTATCGCTTCACATCCTCATCAGCATTTGGTATTGTCAATATTCCATATTTTGGTCATTCTGATAGTTGTGTAGTGATATCTTATTTCAATTTGTGTTTCTTTGATGACATGATACAGAGCATCCTTTTATAGGTGGCTCTGCCATCTATACATCTTCTTTGGTGAGATGCCTGTTAAGGTCTTTGGCCCATTTTTTAATTGGGCTCCTTGTTTTCTTACTTTTGAGTTTTAAGACTTCTTCGTATATTTTGATAGCAGTCCTTTATCAGAAATGTCTTTTGCAAAGATTTTCTCCCAGTTTATATCTTGTCTTCCATTCTCTTGACTTGGGCTTTAGCAGACCAGTTCTCAATTTTAATCAAGTCCAGCTTTTCAGTTCTTGCTTTCATGTGTTGTGCCTTTGGTATTATATCTGTAAAGTCAGTGATATATCCAAAGTCATCTAAATTTTCTCCTGTTATCTCTATGGGCTTTATAGTAGCATTTTACTTTTAGATCTATGATCCAAATGTAATTTTCTTTTTGAGAGAGAGAGTGCAAACACAAGCAGGGGAGAGGAGCAGAGGGAGAGAGATAGGATTTCAAGCAGGCTCTGTGCTCAGTGCGGAGCCTGATGCGGGGCTCAATCCCATGACCCTCAGATCATGACCTGAGCTGAAATCACAAGTTGGACACTCAACCCACTGAGCCATGCAGGCAGACCACTCCAAATGTAATTTTTATGAAGGCTTTAAGTTTTGTATCTATAGTCATTTGTGTGTGTGTGTGTGTGTGTGTGTGTGTGTGAGACTATCCAATTATTCCAGTAACATTTGTCAAAAAGATTGTATTTTCTCCATTGTATTTCTTTTGTTCCTTTCTCAAAAATTAATTGACTATATTTATATTGGTCTATCTCTGGATTCTCTATTCTATTCCATTGATGTATTTGTCTATTCTTTGACAAATACCACATTATCTTGATTAGTGTAGTTTCATAGTAAGTCTTAAAGTCCAGTAGTGTCAGTCCTCCAACTTTGTTCTTCCATATTGTGTTGGCTATTCTGGGCATTTTGCTTCTTTATATAAACTTCACAATAAGACTGTTAATATCCACCCAACAATTTGTTGGGAAATTGATTGGGATTGTATTGAATCATAGATCAAGTTAAAGAGAACTAACATCTTGAAAATATAAGATTTCCTGGAGTTTTCCTATCCATGAACATGGAATACCTTTCCATGTATTTAGTTCTTCTTTGATTTCACTCATCAAAGTTTGTCGTTTTCTTCATATAGATCTTGTACATATTTTGCTAAATTTATGCCTAAGTATTTCATTTTGGGGGGTGCCAATGTAATTTTGGGCATGCTAGTTGTATTGTGTTTTCAATTTCAAATTCCACTTGTTCATTGTTGGTATAATTTTATTTAATTTTAATTAACTTTACTTTAAATAGCTTCATCTTCCTAGTGGCTACCATTTTACTCTAGGATCTAAAAAATACAATCAGTAATTATTCCTTTTTTAGGAATTATTGCTTTTTAGGAATAAATGTAAATGTTATTACTATACCAAAGTAAAATGCTGCACCAAAACAGTTACACTGACTTGTTCATTTAACCTATACGGAGTATACCAGGGTACTATGTACCCGATGTCATACTAATGCTAAGGAGCACCGAGGAGCTCAGACTTAGAGACATAGTAAGTAAAAACTGCAATGTAGTTTTGCTTGTTATTAGAGACAATAATAGCATTTAGCTACTAGACACCATATATATAATTCCTACAATAATTGTAGGAATTTAAAAAAGGCTTCATTGAAGAGTTTTATTTAATCTGGGACATCATGGAAAAATAAGTTACAAAATAAATGGGGGCATGGTGCAGTGAGGAATAGGACAGGCATTCCAGAAAAGATACTGAAAGGGTTTGGTGTGTCTAGGCCACAATCCACATGTGGTGTGCAGCAGCTGATGCTGCCAAAAAGTAGACTCCAGGCTGACAGAGTCCTATATAGTAAGTAACAAGTTTGGATGCCAAGTGATCACATGGTATGCTATATTTTCCCTATTGTTCTACTTTTTATAGTTTATATTAAGTACTAAAAAAATCTGCTTCATTAGACTTATAAGTTGTTTATGGCAAGATCATATCTGCCTTACCAACCAATGTAATCCATGGTATCTGATAGAGAATGAGTACTTCAGAGTAAATTACTTCAGAGTAAATACCCACCTTTTACTGATTTCAATGCAGAGTAAAGCAAAATAAAGGTGCCCTTTGCTTCCTCCATTTCATCGGTAGCTATATATGCATATATATGTTCCTATTTCATTACTTGATAGAGCCAATATTCCCTGTAGGAGAAACGGGAAAGAATGACGTTCTAAATCTAGAATAACAGGAAACAATTCCCAACCTTTAACGGTACCCAAATTCATCATCTTTGTGCAAAAAAATAGCGTACCTACCTTCAGTACTGTCTCCCATTTGTCACCCAAAAGGTACAATTGCTCTGTGTCCATATAAAAATTAACATAATTCACTACGGACTGCTCCTTAATAGCCAGGGAAGAAGAAATACTAATCGCAGGCACAGGCACATATCCTCCCCCTTTCCTCCCCCAAAAACAAATGAAGGGCACAAGAAAAATAAAAGTGGTTAATTTGATCAACACTGCTCTGAAACACTATTGACAATACAAAAACCTAAAGTAACACTTTACTAACTTGAGCCCCCTGCATCCCGCCTGCAGTATTCCAGGAACCTAGCCACCTGGCTCCCAAACAAGGCCCTTCCGCCTCACAAAAAGCAGGACGCTCCCCGCCACGTGAGGTGGGCGGGGCTGAGGCTGTTCCGGCCCGTCCCTGCAGGAGCCGGGCGCGCGCGTTCGGTATCTGCGTCGGGGGAGGAGTCTCTTGTCCCTCCGCGCGGCCCGTTCCGCCTCGGCTCCCGCTTCCTTTAGGCTGACGTGTCGGCAGTTCTTCGGAACCTCTGCGAGTAGGGCCGGGATGGCGGACGCCTGGGAGGAGATCAGGCGGTTGGCGGCTGACTTTCAGCGGGCGCAGTTCGCCGAGGCCACACAGAGGTGCCTGACCCTCCCTTTTCGTTGCAGAATCCAAAATAGCCCCTGGGTAGTCACGCCGAGATCTGAGGCCGCAGATCCCTGGCTCTGGACCCCGCACCTTCCCAGGCTGTGTCACCGATTTCGCCCTCACCTTCCTCCCCGAGCCTGGATTGCAGTTCCAAGTATAGTTCCCAGCTTTGAACCCCGAAAGCTACTACGCCCCGGACCGTCCCCCGCCCCCAGCCATGCCCCAGCCAAGTGCTGCCGCGCCCCGCCCTCTTGATGGCTGAAGCTGTTGATTTCTCACTGTCTTAAGAGTGTCCCTCAGATCCTTATTTACCCAACCCCCTATGGCATCACTGATTATTATGCACTTCCTGACCTAGAATGAGCTGGAAGGGAGAGGCAACAACAAAATGCAGTACTTTGTAAATGCTGTGTTGACCCTTTAAACATTTTGCCTTTTTTGTCCACCAGGAGAGTGTGCCAGGCCAGACCCATGGTCCCATCCGTCATTTTTAAGAACTCCCGGACACTGACATTTCTTGCAAACCCACCAACCTTGGCGGGATTGTGTCCTGGGCACCCTAATTCTGCTTTTTAATATTACAGAACACATAAACAATGTTGATAGAATCCTTTTTTATCCATTGACTATCTCTTACTTCGATGTTTTTGTTCCCAATGGGGCTTGAAGACCTTAATCCCTTAATACTGTATTTTGTAGTACTGAGGGCAAACTAGGGCACATACTTAAGAGCTTGGATAACAGTTGCAGTCATGGTTTTCCTAGGCCATATCCCTTGCCTACAGACCAATAGTAGTAGGCAATTATACACTTAAAGAAAATTCCGGTTTGTTTGGTTTTGGTTTTTTTACTGAACTTAAACTGGGAATTGAAGTAAAAGTAGGGCTACCTAATTTATATGTGCTACCTAAATTATATGTGCTAACTTTTCTATTCAGATTTGAAGGGTACAAGCAGGCCTGTAGGAGAGAGCAGACTTGAAATTCTGTAATAGAATGGTTTGTACCAGTTAGGTACATGATTTAAGTTTATGTAAACCTGTTTACTCCCAAGAGGGGTGTGTGTGTGTGTGTGTGTGTGTGTGTGTGTGTGTGTGTGTGTGTGTTTTAACACATTGAATCAGTATGGTTATACTAATCAAAGATACAGATTTTGTAATGTAGATCTTAGTGACGTTTTACCCAAACTTTTTTTAAAAGTTCATACATTGTTAAGTTTGTTAAGCACCAAATGTATCAAGTGCATTTTAAAACTTCTTGTTTTCCTCAGGTTGTCAGAGCGGAACTGCATTGAGATTGTGAATAAATTGATTGCTCAGAAACAGCTAGATGTAGTTCACACACTTGATGGGAAGGAATATATTACTCCAGCCCAAATTAGTAAAGAAATGAGAGATGAGCTACATGTCCGAGGAGGTAAGTAATTCCTTAGTTTTTTTTTCTTCTGGTTATTTGGAAGAGGGAAAAAACTTATAAAATATAACTAATAAATTATTTGGAGGATGTGGGACATTCTTCTCAATTGTTAATATGGAAATCAGCGTTAATGTTTTTAATAGCTTCAGGTAAAGATCATATAATTTAAATGAAGTCAAATATCGTCACTTTACAAAATAGCATCTTTTATTATTATGAGTTATGTGTTCTGTGTGTGAATTAATCAACTGTTCCTATTCACAGTTCATGAATTTATTGCATGACGCAGGGGAGGGTGCTTAGCTGTCTATTATCAGGTGGTAATTATGAAATGAGAACAGAGATTTTGAAGGATTATAGATTGTTGAAAATCAGAGCTATACTGCCACTTTTTTTAAAAAAACTTACCTTTAAGTATTTGCAGATTAGGAAACGATATGGTGTTATACCTATATATCATGGGAAATGCAATTATAAGCATATAAAAAAAAGTTTTTTTTCTTTTTTTTAATTTGAACAAACTACTGAGCAAATTTGAACACTTTGATTAGAATATAAGCAACTATGAAAACAGCTCTTCATTAGATGTTATCAGATATACCCTTGGTGTTGGTTCATCTTCCTCCATATTGCTAATAAAATATTAGCTATAATTTGGAATACTTGACAGACTTCTTTTGCCAATACATGGAAATCTACTCATTCCAAAATTTTTTTAAATGAGTTCATCCGAATTTAATTGTCAGTATCACTTTGGTACAATAGATAAATTCTGCCAGGGAAGTCCATCTTAAATCCATAGATCTGGCCAAATTGTGTATCAATCAATTGATGTTCGTTATTGGCCTAATGTGACAAATGAAACTTCAAAAATAAATTATTGCCTGTGCCTTCAGCCACGAGGATGTATTCAGCTAATGGTTTGCATTTGAAAATGGTAATTATTGTAGCTTTATGTGCTTTGAAGACGGGGAACTTAACTGTCCAAGATGTAAATCTATTGAAATTTACAGTTTTTGTCTGGTGTATACTTACACATGAATTAAAGTCAATGAATGTCTTTTCTTTAAAGGTCGAGTAAACATTGTTGATCTACAACAGGTACATTTTTAATTTATCAATTTTTTTCCTTTCTCAATTTTTTGATACTATGACTTAAGAATTCACTAATACTAGGGGCGCCTGGGTGGCGCAGTCGGTTAAGCGTCCGACTTCAGCCAGGTCACGATCTCGCGGTCCGTGAGTTCGAGCCCCGCGTCAGGCTCTTGGCGGATGGCTCAGAGCCTGGAGCCTGTTTCCGATTCTGTGTCTCCCTCTCTCTCTGCCCCTCCCCCGTTCGTGCTCTGTCTCTCTCTGTCCCAAAAATAAATAAACGTTGAAAAAAAAAAATTTAAAAAAGAATTCACTAATACTGGTATCTTATTTTGTATATCTGTGAAGAAATAGTTTTATATCCCACACTAATATATTTAATTAATTTAATAAGTTCTGACATACTGAATTGATTTAATAAGTTCTTCTTTCTTACTTATTTGCTTATTCTTTACCAAGTAAACTCATAGTTATGATTTTTCATTGTAACAGGGTTTAAGTATTTAGGGAGAAAAATAATGTTCATGTTTACTTTAGTATATGGAAGGAGTAAAGAAATATTTTAAAAAGAAGAAGATATTTTTATAAAATATAAGAGCACGTGTCATCAACAAGTTACACTATATCCAAGAAGCTGGAAAATCTTGTGCAAATCCTGCCTATTGTATGACAATACAGTTTCTTAATGCAAACTTTGCTAACAAGTGAAAATGTAATTGTTCAGAAATGAAAGTAAATAAGCAATAAACCTCTAATTTTTATTTGACTGAGACTTTTGACAGTATTTCAAATTAATTTGAAATTCATCTAAGAGAAAGTAAGTTTTTAAAAAGATAGGTTGGGGCACCTGGGTGGCTCTGTCGATTCTTGGTTTCAGCTCAGGTCATGACCTCACCAATCATGGGTTCGAGCCCCACGTCAGGCTCTGTGCAGACAGTGCAGAGCCTGCTTGGAATTCTCTCTCTCCCTCTCTTTGCCCCTATCCCCCTCACACTATCTCTTAAAATAAATAAACTAAAAAAATAAAAATAAAAGTCATAGAAAAAAAATGTTCTAATATATAGTTTCAAACTTAAGAAACAATATGAACTTATCACTAATAGAATTTTATTTTTTTTCCAGGTAATTAATGTGGATCTGACTCATATTGAAAGTAGAATTGGTGACATTGTAAAATCAGAAAAGCATGTTCAGCTAGTTCTGGGACAACTGATAGATGAGTAAGTACAATATTTAGGAGCACTTTTTTGTTTCTTTTTTTTTTTCCATAGTGTTTAAATTTAGAACAATTGTGACCAGTTTGGCATTTTATTTAGAACTCAAGTGCTGATTTTCATTTTTAGGATCATTATATTTAAATTGTAAGTGCTTGGGGCACCAGGGTGGCTCTGTCGGTTAAGCGTCCCACTCTTCATTTCTGGCTCAGGTCACAATATCAAGGTCATGAATTTGAGCCTTGCCTCAGCTCCGTGCTGAGCATGGAACCTGCTTAAGATTCTCTCCCTGCCTCTCCCTCTATCCCTCTCCCACTCACTTTCTTTCTCTTTCTCAAAGAAAAAAAAGTAAATGCTTAATTGTATGGAGTACTTGGGAATAATAAAAACTTTGATTTTTTTTCTATTAAAGCAGCATAAACGTAATTCTTACAGTCTTTCCTCTATGATCTTAATTCCGAAAGCAAATTTGTTCCGAAAATGTTAATGAAAAATGCAGAATTTACATAGTTAAAAAAATCCCAGCATTTATCATTTGGTTAACCTTACATTAATTACATTGATAAGAAAAATAATTTTCAGAATATGAATAATGACTTATGTTTACCTAAACATACCCTATTCATTATTTTGTGAGCATACCTTATTGCACATAAAAAAGGAAAATAATTGTAATTTTTTTTTCTTTAACTATTAGCAACTATTTGGATCGGTTAGCAGAAGAGGTAAATGATAAATTGCAAGAAAGTGGTCAGGTCACCATATCAGAACTATGTAAGACCTATGATCTTCCTGGAAACTTTCTGACACAGGTACTTTTTCTTAATAGCTTAGTGTCTTTTCAGATAAATAAAGAATTTTAATTGGAAGAAAAAAACTAGACTTTCATACCATTAACTTGTTGCAAGTGTTTATTGATGTAGTTGTATGTTTTGGGGATGCTTCCAATACATTGATGGCTCTGATGAGACAGACCATTTAGAAATGATTATTTCTTTGTTCTTAAAATAGTTTGCCATTTTAGAATTATAGACATTTATTTTGTATACTGGAAAGTGCATGTGCTTTGGAGTTAAACAGACTTTGATTTTATTCTGCTT